GGACTCCATGCATGACTGGGCTGTATGCATAAAGGGCTACAGGCTGCACAGAACGGAGGGGGTGTAGCTTTCTAGGTAAAGGAGCAGTATTGCCTTCTCAGAGAGTCAAATTGGTTTGAGAGAAGGACAACTCAAGACCCTGTGGGTCAAGATACTGGGGGGATGAGGAGAAGGGGACTTGATGGTAGGCATCTACTATAGACCATCACACCAGGAGGAGGAGCTGGAATTTTCCAGAGAACTGATGGAGGCTGCATGTTCAAGAGACATGGTTGTCATGGGTGACCTCAATTACCCTGACAACTGCTGGGAGGAGCACCTACCCAGATCTGACCAGTCACATAGGTTTTTGTCTGGCGAGGAAGAATGTTATTTAGTCCAGGAGGTGAATGGGCCAACCAGGGGGAAGGCTTTGTTGGATTTGGTTTTAGCCAAAGGGGATTACCTGGTGGGAGATCTGAGGATTGAGGGTAATCTGGGAGATAGTGATCATGAGATGATAGAATTCACTATCCATCGTAGGGCAGGGCAGTCAGTTAGTAGGCCAGAGGTGCTTGACTTTAGGAAGGCTGACTTCATTGAGCTTAGGAAAATAGTTGGAGAGACCCTATGGGAAGAGTGACTGTGGGAGAAGGGAGTTCAGGAAGGGTGGATGTTCCTCAGAAGACTGGAAAAGGGCCAATGTGGTGGCAATTTTTAAGGAGGGGAGGAGGGAGGATCCAGGAAACTATAGGCAGGTCATTTTGACCTCAATACTGGGTATAATTTTGGAAAAAAATTATTAAGCAGTCCATTTGTGAGAGACTGGCAGAAGGCATGATGCTGAAGAATAGCCAACATGGTTTCACTGTGGGGAAGTCATGTCTGATCAACCTTGTCTCCTTCTATGATCAGGTAACAAACTGCTTAGATGTGGGAGAGACAGTTAATTGCATATACTTGTATTTTAAAAAGGCTTTCAATATAGTCTCCAATGCCACTCTTATAAAAAAAACCTGGGGAATTGTGGGCTGGCACAGTCCAGATTGTGGGCTAGTCAGGTGAGTTGGGAACTGGCTAAGAGGTCAAACCCAGAGAGTGTTAATGGATGGGTCTGTATTGTCTTGGTGGGAAGTGGCCAGTGGTGTCCCACAGGGTTCAGTTCTTGGCCCCGTGCTGTTTAACATCTTTCTCAATGATTTAGATAAGGACGTGGAAAGCTCACTGGCCAAGTTTGTGGATGATACTAAGTTATGAGCAAAAGCAGTCATGCTAAGGGATAGGATGCAGATCCAAGTGAACCTGGACAAGCTGGAAAGGTGGGTGGAGTGGAACTGGTTGCATTCAATAAGGATAAATGCAGAGTGCTTCACCTAGGGAGTAACCAGTGACATGAATATAGGTTAGGTGATGTTCTGGCCAGTATAATGGCTGAAAGAGACCTCGGGGTTATGGTTGATCACAGGATGAACATGAACCACCAATGCAATGCTGTAGTCAACAGAGCTAACAGCATACTGGGATGCATTAGCCAATGCGTCACGAGCAGAGCTAAGAAAGAGATACTTCCTCTCTAGTCAGCATTGGTGAAACCCCAACTGGAGTACTGCATCTAGTTTTGGGTGCCACACTTCAAAAAAGAAGTGGAGAATCTTGAAAGAGTCCAGAGAAGGGCCACAGGAACGATTAAGGGCTTGGAGGACAAACCTTATGAGGAAAGACTAAGGGATCTGGGACTGTTCAGGTTGGGGAAGAGGAGACTGAGGGGGGACTTGGTGGCCATCTATAAGTATGTTAGGGGTGAATATTGGGAGCTGGGAGACAAACTGTACAGTAGGGTGCCCCAGGAGACAAAAGCAATGGTCACAAACTGTTAGAGGATGGTTTCAGGTTGGATGTAAGGAAGAACTTCTATACACTAAGGGTGCCCAGAATCTGGAATAGACTTTTCAAGGAGGTGGTGCAGTCCCTAACCTTGGAAATCTTCGAGAGGAGGCTGGACAGACACCTTGCTGGGATCATTTGATCTTAGCAGTATTCCTGCCCAGAGCAGGGGGGGTTGGACTCAATGATCTTTCAAGGTCCCTTTCAGCCCTTAATTTCTACAATTCTATACCTGGAATATTGCATTTCTCCCCTCCCGTTCTTCCTACTTACATTCCTAGTCCTTCCCTTTCCCTTTCTTATTTGACTCTTTTCTCTTCTTTTCTCTCCATATTATTATCCTCTTGTGTGCACCCAACTCCTTTCCACCAACCTTGTTTTCTCTCAGTTTGACTCCTGGCCTTCAATCTTCTGTTCCTACGGCTATAGAAACTGATGTGCTATAGCCAAAGTAGCCCAATGGGCTATTAAGTTTGTGTGGACCTTTGACAAACTGTCAGAAAATGAAGTGTGGATGATCCATTCTACCGGTTACACTAGATCAGGAACCTGGGGAGCAACTCCAGGTATTAAGCTGAAGAACCTGACTGAAACTTGGTTAGCCAACAGATAGACAAGTAGTGTTCGAAGTATATTATAATTATGATGGTTCAGGAAAGAGGCGAGGGACAAGGACTTCTGGGTGAAATCTTTTATTAACAAGCATAGGCGGCAGAAGGTTGGGGCTAACAGGGCCAAACCCTGCCAAACGTGGGGCAATGGTGGTAGCAGAGGGCTACAGGACAGTCCTGGCACAGGCTTCGGGTAACTGCAGCAGGGGATGGACACAGACACAGCCACGCAGCCGCAGACTGCACACAGCCAGGATTGCAGCCCAGGGACTTGTAGAGCACTGCTAGGGTTACCATATGTCTGGGTTTTTCTGGACATGCACTCTTTTTGAGTCCTCCTATTTTGAGTCTGGGAAAGGGAAGGGGCATGAGTGGGGGCCAGATCAAGGCCCCCACAGTGAGGGAGTGGGACAGGGACTGGGGTGAATGGGGCCCTGAGGCTGGGGCAGGTCATGGGACAGTCAGAGCCCAGGCGGTTCATCCAGTGGCATGGGGGGGGAGGGGAAGGCCTCCCATTATGGCACACACCCCAGGGGAGGCACAGAGGGTACATGCCCCCCAGATTTGTGAGTGGGGTGAAGGCAGTCTGCTGCTGCAAGCTGGGGTTCTGCATCCCACTACCACTGCCTCAGGAGCTGTGTGTGATGCCATGTGCCTGCCGCCACTGGGTGGGCAGGGGATAAAGCGCAGCCCAGCAGCAGCAGGCACATGGCATCACACAGCTCCCAAGGCAGAGGGGCACAGAACCCCAGCCTACAGCGGCAGCCTACCTCCACCCTATGCACAAGTCTGGGGGGCACATACCCCTTGTGCCTCCCCCGGGGTGCGTGCAGTGGTGGGAGCTCCCCTGCCCCCCACTGGATGAGCCACCCAGGCTCCAACTGTCCCATGACCCACCCCAGCCTTGGGGCCCCACTTAACTCCAGCCCCTCCCACTCCCTTCCTTGGTGTGGGGCCTCAATCTGCACCCCGACCATACACCTCTTCCCCTTCCCCCCAACCCATCTCCTCTCCTCCACAGACTTACCTGCGGGGTGTGTGTGTGTGTGTGTGTGTGTGTGTGTGTGTGTGTGTGTGTGTGTGTGTGTGTACACTCAGCCCCCCCTCAAATAATATTTTCTCCTTCCGCTTATGTTCACTAGCTTCTTCTTTTGTATGGCTGACTTAGAGAATTATAAGTTCAGTTTAAGGTTAGTTAACCAGTCTAATGCTCTTGAGGAAAGGGAATGTATCTCTACAATGTCATTGTCAAATCTGTATAGGGGACAGTGTGTTGTTATGTGGTCCATAGTTTGACCAGGACTGCCACAGTCACATTTTGAACCATTGATCTACTGTATGGTTAGGATAGACTGACAAGCTTTTGAATGCAGTGTGTTCTTCAGCTCTTCAAGTACACATTTTAGCACGGTAACTATAATATTCTATGAAGCCAATGAGGAAAGTTAAATATGAACTAGAAATCACTACAACTGCCCGAGACAGTTCAGTTAAAATTAACTCTAAAATCAAAAATAAAAATGTGACCAATTTCTTAAATGTGCTTAATCATAAATCAAAATATTTTTCATGTATGCTTGTGTTGCACGCTACTCGTTAACAGTAGCTAGCAACATCCGCTGTTTGTGCTGAGTTTATAAGGTCAGATATTAGAGATGATTGGTGTTAGGCTGTTGGGGTTTTTTGTACCAACTCATATATCACTGCCTTCAGTTGTTTGCTGGAAGACCTGTTGATAATACCTGGGTGAAAGTATTGATAAATGTTACAGTCAAAAAGTAAAATAAAGATGACCAGAAGTTGATAATAATAAAGTTAAACATACACATTTAACATCAAATGTGCACAGTACATATAGGAATAATGATTAAATTTAACTAATACAGTTATAAAGGGATGAGATCACTAGGGATACCTGCATGAATAAAGTTAGGCCTATTTTTAGTTTTTGTTGGACTGAGCTCCATAACATTAGACTGGCAGTTATAAACAACCTGTATTAAAGTTTTCACATTTCAGTCCTGTTAACAACATTATATTCCCACTACAGAACTAAATCCAGAACACATGAAGACTTACACATTCACTTTACTTTACACATTGATGTTCACGGGACTCTTGACAGTGTATAAAGTTAAGTGCATATTCATATCTTAGCAGGATCAGGGCCTTTGATAGGATTATCGCTTTCTGCTAATGCTTTGGACATTGTATTAAATGGGCTAAAATGAATGTATTATTTTTTAATACACTTACATATTTCAAATTAAATATAAAATGTTTACCTTTATTATCCTCATATAAACTAGTTTATTTTCATTTTCTTTTATTAATCTTAATCTTAAAAGGTTGTATTAACCAGAAACAAAACCGAAAGATTTGGAAAAGTCGTCCCTTTACCAATAGGGAAACTAAGTCCATTTGTAAGAAAGCTTGATGCAATAATTTTTAAAACATCTTGTTCTCCCCCCTTTTCATGTAATGTTAAAAACTGGCTTCAAGAGAAAAAAGCAATATTATCCTTGCCTTTTGTTTCTTGATGACTGTCCTCGTCTGATCATCTCTTTCACTTGGTTCTAAAAAACAGAAACATCTCACAATCATAAATCTACAAGAAAGCCTAAAGATGTAACAGTGATGAAAGGTATGCAATGCAGAGATAACCTCTAAAATGCCTAGGTGCAGAATTTTTCCAACTATTTGAGTTGGTGTTATAAAAAATATCAGATTTACCCAAAGAACCTTGTCTGCGTAGGTGCATATAGTAACATCTAAAGTTTGACCAGCAGGTTTATAATAAAATCCAGTAGGTTTAAAAAAAAAAATCTATTTAAGAAGCACTAAATCAGAGCTGCATGAGAGTTGTTTGTTTGTTTGCAGAGGGGTTAATTTGGGGAGTTTTGGTAGAATATGCTGGTAGGCAATCATAAGACTATAATAAAGAGCAGCTTTATTCATCCCAGTGGTACCATGCTTGAAGCATTGTCCCACTACAGAATGCTGAAACTTACTTACATGACTCAGACATTCCTGTTATTCAACTACATTTACATGCTAATAATGTGCAGTGACTTCTTCTGAAAATAATTTTCTAAAACAATGATCAGAGTAAAATATAAGGCAAAGTGAACTTGCACCTTATAGACTAATTAAATCAGAGATGCATAAGCTTTCATAAGGAGAAGGCTTACTTCATCAGATGCCATGAAGGGACTGCAAAAAGCAAAGCTTCTAAATTAAAAGCAGTGATTAGCATACAAATGGTAGTTAAGTGGGGAGGGAAAAGGAGTGGCACTGCTAAGAGAGACAAGGTGGACAGGAGGGAGACAAAATAAAGCAGATAGCTCATACAAGTAAAGTGTATATCTTCTTTAACAATTTCAAGGAAGACTCTACAATATAAGCGTTGTCAGAATTGTTTTAAGAGGCAGTCATAGGTAGGGCCCTGAGAAAATCGCAGATTTCTTGTAAAAAAATTGTGGCACGTGCGTGGGTAAAGTATCATTTTTCATGGAACAGTCACAGAACTACCACTGATCTTGGCAAATGGGTCCCAGTAGTTCCACGAATATTCCGTAAAAAATACTTTACCTGCGCACATGCAGCAGGCAGGCATGCACCATAGGTGGTGGAAGGCCGAGGATAGTAGGGCTTAGCCCCCCCCACAAATGCAGGGCAGCAGTGGCAGTGCAGAGGGCCACAGGGCAGCCCGGGCATGGGCTCTGACTGGCTGCAGCAGGAGGGGTGGGGATGCATAGACATAGACATGGAGCCTGCACAAAGCCAGGATTGCAGTCAGATGGCATGCAGAGCACTGCTTACCACAGCAGGCAAGTCCAGGAAGGGGCATGGCGGGGGCTAGATCAAGGCCCACACAGGGAGGGAGGGAGTGGGGCTGAGGCAGGGGCAGGGGCTGGGGTGAATGGGATCCTGAGCCTGGAGTGAGTCACAGGATGACTGGGGCTGGGGACAGCTCACCCAGGGGCATGGGGGTGGGGGGCTCCTGCCACTGTGCACACCCTGGGGGAGGCAGGGCATTGCGAAGGTGGGCTGCTACTATGTGCTAGAAAGGTTTGTACAATGCTTTTGCACATTTTCTGACAACAGTGCTGTGAAAGGTAGATAGATGGCAAACACAAAGAAAGCATTACAGAAAAGAACTTTATAATAGGTGAAGATAGAAATGGTATTTTTATTTTTTGCTATTTCTACATTTCTATGCTTCTGATTTAAGTTTGTTTACTTCAGTTAGCAGTTTGGAAACTCCTATTGACTTTGTATCTCTACCTGCCAGGGATAAATACAAGCAATATTTATTTGAACTTGCAGCATGTCCCTGAGCTCATCAGCCCTTTATTTCTGACATACTTGACACTTTAAAAATGGATTTCTTGTTATTAGATTTGCATGTCATGCCTCATTACCTTTCTGTTCCAGATCACTGGGGGATTTTCTCTCTCTCAGTGAATAACATGATACTGCAGCAGTCTAATAAATCAATTAAGGAAGACATTAAAGAACAAATTGCTTAAAATGCAGGTTTATTTGTTTTAGGAAACCATGAGTCTTCTTAATTAACTTTGCCACCATAATTAACAATGGTTTAATGATAGTTGGTAAGTTATGTATTAATTAATTTAGGAAATGGTTCATTTTCTGGGTCTTTTTATAACATGCTCTTAATAAAATAAATTCTAGTATGAAAAGACCAATTAAAAGCTGTTGTTATGTTACTCTTTATAATACTGTGATTTGAACACCAGGAAAAGTATATTAAACCATAAAATTAGATTGAATCATGTTATATAATTATGATGATAAACTATTTAGAATTTTATATCATTTTCAAAATTTTGTACTTGTTCAGATCCGGGCAGATTTATTTAAAATATATTTGCATACTTACGTTGCATCTTTAGTAAATTACAAGATGTTTAAGATCATTTGACACAAATGATTTTTCAGTCATTATTTATAGCTTGGTTTGATGTACATGCTGTTAGTGCTATACAAATAAAAAGAAACAAACAAAACCAATTACCATAATAATGGATCCTACACCAATGGGAGCCTATTATCACCAATCCTACCAGATTACACACAAGGTGAATAATCTCATTCAATTCAACAGGATTGCTCATAAAAATAAGGAGTTAACGATTAGACCTCCACAGAACAGATCTATTACTATAGGGGTTTTCAACCTTTTTGGGTCAGTGTACCCCCAGCAGCTGGTTGAGAAGGAAGGAGTCCCCCGGCAGCCAGTCGACAAGGTGGGGGGCAGTCCCCAGCGGCCAACTGGCAACCAGGAGGGGGAGGTCGGAAGTGCCAGCGGAAGTGCCGAATACCCCCTGTGGACATCCCAAGTACCCCCAGGTGTTGAAAATGTGTATCCCTGGTTGAAAACCCATGCATTACTACATACATGTACATATGAAATGCAAAACTGGCATTCATACATTAGTATGTAGCACAGCCAAATTAACACTGTAGTAGCCAATCTTTAATACTTTTAATTTCAGGATTTGTAAATGTGTGATTCGTGTGTTTTAGCATTGCATCCACACTAGTTTTTGCATTTACTTTCCAAATATCATTTAGGAAAATGAAAAGAAGGCCTTTTGATACTTTTCTGGGATTTTAACTCTTTCAGGAGCTAGCACACTAATGGGAAGTATAGAAGTGTTATCAGCAGGCATTTATCTTCAAAAACCTGTTTACGATCCTCTTTACTGGTTGCTGCAGTGTTTAAAAGGTGATGTCATACTGAAAACATATAACCACAATATCCTCTTCACTGGAGCATGAGGCATCTAAAAGTTTTGAATTTTTTGCCATAGGAAAGAATTTAGTACTCTTAAATATAATATTTATCTCTCATTTCTGAGACATCAGAGGCACAAATGTTTGTCCTACCTGCGGCCTCAGTCTTCTAGGTATTTGGTTACAGTTGGTTCTGTGAGTTGCCGAATAAGATTTCTGTGAAAGCCCAGCAGGTCCTAATAGTGACAAAATACACCGTGGAACTGCATTTTGATATATTAACATAATAAATGATAACATGAATCCTTGAAATAACATCATTGCAAGCTTAGTTGGGTTTTTTTTTTAGTTTTTATTAATTTAACTGCCAGATTAGACAAAAAATTGGACTGCTCATGCAGTGTCATGTGTGGATTATATTTAATATTTGCTGGCCTCAGCATATTTTTATTTGAATGCAAATGGAAATTTTTAACAAATATACAAGAAAATAAAATTAGCTCAAACCACTTATACTTATGATAGAAGTCAGGGCAGTGTCTGTCACCCATTAGAAACTAACTTGTTCAGAAAGGCGTAAGCATATACTTCATAAGCTTATGCCTTTCTGAAAAAGTTTTAGTCTGTCTAACTTTGGACTAACACTGCTATCTACCTCTCTCTGCTTGTGATAGTGTGCAACTTCAAGTAGGACATCTCTAAGCCACTTTCTTTCCTAAGATGGTCTACCACCAAGCCAGCATGTATGAAGGATCCCACACTTCCAAATGCATGTCACCTAAGTAAAGTTGGGTTTAAATCCAAATTCAAAGTCTCGGCCACCAGTTTTCACATTGCACAGCCATGACAACAATCATCAACTGCCAAGGTAATAACTTTTCTTACTACTTTACCTAATGAATAAGTATGCCTTGCCAAGTGTAACAGCTTGAACAGAAGGAACCAAGAGACATATCCCTAAATGCCCTATAACTAGCTGGGAGGCACAAGATGTAGGTTCAAATCACTTTTGGGAGAGGAGAGACTTGAACCTAAACCCCCCTCATCCCAAATGAATGTTCTAGGTATGGCACCATCAGGTAAAAATGGTCATTGTTCTTCCTCCATCTGAGCATGTCTTCTGGATCAGACCCTAAAAGAGAAACAGGCAGGAGAACAACTATTTTGTGAATCCCAATGGACTGAAGCTTGAAAAAAGGAATGGCTCAGTGCTGTGAGCCCTTAGGCAACTGTATAACTGTCCTGAAACAAAAATATGGGGCCACAGGGAACTTCACTAGAGAAAGCTCAGGCACTATGTGATTTTAGCACTTAGCAGACTAGCCAGGGACTTGTGAATGCAATTAATGGTTAAATGTTGGATTTGGGGGCTCATTCCTAATCCACCTCTAAGGTGCCTCTGCTTAGGCTTTGTAAAACCTCAAATTTAGGAGCATTGTCTACAGAGGGAAATCTAAATCTCTTTCGGGTTGGCTGATCTCCTCCAGCGGGCTTTAAACTAGGCTCGTCGGGGGAGGAAGAGGACCAAGGGAGCCACAGAACACAGAACCAAGAGACACCCACAAGAACAGCCCAGCCAAGACACGCGACAAGCACAAGGAATACCCAGGTAAGAGACAGGGGCCCAGATAGTCCTGGGTTTGGGGGAAAGGTGCATACACCCTCAGGAGGCCTTAAATGCCTCTACACTAGTGCTCATAGTATGGGGAACAAGCAGGAGGAACTTGCCCTCCTGCTAGCTAACACAAACCCAGACATAGTGAGGCTCACTGAAACTTAGTGGGATCCAATGCACGACTGGGTGGTAAACATCAAGGGCTATAGGCTGTATAGGCAGGATAGAACAGGGAGGAAAGGTGCAGGTGTGGCACTCTACATCAAAGAGCAATACACATCCTCAGCAAACAGCACTGGGTCAGAGGAGGGGCAGACTGAGGTGCTCTGGGTCAGAATACAAGGGGGTCGGGAAGAAAGGGACCTAACAGTGGGGGTGTACTACAGGCCACCTAACCAGGGGGAAGAGCTGGACTGGGAATTCTCAGGTCAGCTCGCGGGGGCAGTTAAGTCAAGGGATGTGGTCATCATGGGTGACCTAAACTACCCGGACATCTGGGTAGAGCAGTCAACCAGGTCTGACTGCTCACATAGGTTCCTAGCTGAGTTACAGAACCTCCATCTAACCCAGGAGGTGCACAGTCCCACCAGGGGAGATGCCTTGTTGGACCTGGTCCTGACCACAGGCGATGACCTGGTGAGGGGACTGCGGGTTCTTGACCACCTGGGATGACCACCGATCATCGCCTACTGTAATTCACCATCCAGCGCAGGGTGTCAAAGGCCTGCAGCAAGACAGGAGCCCTGGACTTCAGGTTGGCAGATTTCAATGAGGTAAGGAGACTAGTTGGGGAGGCACTGAGGTCCCAGAGGGGAGGGGAGTTGGTAGTCCTAGTCTACGACCAGGTCACAAAAGCCTTGAATGCAGGTGGCGCAGTAGACGTAGTCTTTCTGGACTTTAGGTAGGCTTTCGACACTGTCTCTCGCCCCATCCTCATTAAAAATTAGGCTACTTTGGTGTCAATGCCTACATAGTCAGGTGGGTTGCAAATTGGTTGGAAGGCCACACCCAGAGAGTGGTGGTGGATGGGTCATTTTCGACCTGGAGGGATGTGGGCAGTGGGGTTCCCCAGGGCTCAGTCTTCAGGCCCGCACTGTTCAATATCTTCATCGGTGACTTGCATGAGGGATGAAAAGCACCTTGTTCAACTTTGCATATGACACTAAGATGTGGGGAGAAGTAAGCATGCTAGAAGAGAGGGACAGGCTACAACTAGATCTGGACAGGTTACAGAGGTGGGCGGATGAGAATAGGATGGGTTTCAACATGGACAAGGGCAAGGGATTGCACCTGGGGAGGAAGAACCAGCAGCATACCTACAGGCTGGGGAACTCCCTTGTCAGCACAGAGGCAGAGAAGGGTCTTGGAGTCATTAATGATTCCAAGATGAATATGGGCTGCCAATGTGGGGATGCAGTCAGGAAGGCTAACTGCACCTTGTCATGCATCCACAGATACATCACGAGCAGGTCCAAGGCGGTGATCCTCCCCCTCTTTGCAACATTGGTCAGGCCGCAGTTGGAGTATTGCATCCAGTTCTGGGCACTGCAGTTTAGGAGGGATGTGGATAGCACTGAGAGGGTCCAGAGGAGGGCCACTCGCATGATCACGAGGCAGCAGGGTAGGCCCTATGAGGAGAGGCTACGGGACCTGAACCTGTTCAGCCGCCACAAAAGAAAGCTGAGAGAGGATCTAGTGGCCACTTATAAACTTGCCAAGGGGTAGCAGCAGGCAATGGGAGAGTCTCTGTTCCCCCGAGCACTTCCGGGAGTAACAAGGAACAACGGCCATAAGCTGACTGAGAGTAGATTCAGGCTAGACATCAGGAGGCACTACTTAACAGTCAGGGTGGCTAGGAGCTGGAACCAACTTCCAAGGGAAGTGGTGCTCATCCCTACCCTGGGGGTCTTCAAAACAAGGCTAGACAATCACCTAGCCGGGGTTGTTTGACCCCAGCATTCTTTCCTGCCCATGGCAGGGTGTCAGACTTGATGCTCTGCTTAGGTCCCTTCCGACCCTACCTACTATGAAACTATGAAACCAACTATGAATAGATGTCCAGACTTCCTGTACTGTGAATGGGAAGACCTAGGCGCCTCTCAATGGTGATCCAAATAAACGAATCACTTAGCAAGGAGGCAACTATATATAGGCTTTAGGAGTATATATAAGACGTGGGGAAGGTTCAGTGGCTGACCGAGGGCTTCTCCCTCATTTTATGTTCCATATAAAGTAGTGGTGATCAATCTTTTGGAATCATGGGCCAGAGGAGTGATGTAGGGCTAGTCTACAGACTGGGCCCTGTGCTGCCTCTACCAGGCCTGCAGTAGCAGCAAAAATGGCCTGGTTCACTTACCTTCCCTTCCCTTTTCCTCCCATCCACTGGCCTCACTGCCACAGTGCTGCTTCCTAGCAGCAGCTCTGAGCCCCACTTCCCACAGGCATCAGCACTGGGGTGGGGAGGGGGATCTCAACTGGACCAGGGCCTGGTTTTTTGTTTGCCTAGGGCCCACTAAGTGGTTAAACGGCCCTGGGCCCACACCCCTTCACCTGGCCCTGCACACACCAATTAGGTCTTCTGCTGCCTGGGTGCAGCCTTGCATGCCAGGATTTGGCCCTGTGCCACCCTGTCTCTCAAATCTAGTATGTAGGACCACACTATCCAGCCCATGGGGCTCCCCATGGGTTCAAATATTTGGCAGCAGGGGAGCAGCAATTACTGCTGCCACTGCTCCCCCAGTAACACATTTTCAGACCAAGGAGAAGCCCCATGGGCCAGATTATATGGTGCCATGGGCCAGGGGTTTAGCACTGCTGGTATAAAGCACAAAACCCACTGTTCACCTGTACTTTTTCCTCAATAGGCCTGTGGTTAGGCACTTGCTCAGGAAAACAGGAAGCCTGGGGTCTAAACCCTTCTTAGCTTGAGGGGATCCACTTCCTCTGAGAGTGTTTAATCACCAATATAAAGGCTAGACCCTAAAGACAGATGAAGGATTTAAACTTCAGTCTTCCACATCTCAGATAACTGCTCTAACTACAGTGCTACTGGATGAGAAGGGAGAATACTTCCAGTATTGTCACTGTTTTCTCCAAAGAAAGGATTGAATCCTACCTGGTTTTATAAAACAACTTAAGTGCTTAACTCTACCATAGTTTCATAGGTGGTAGGGTTGGAAGGGATGTAAGCAGATCATCTAGTCCAACCCTCTGCCATAGGCAGGAAAGGATGCTGGGGTCAAATGACCCCAGCTAGGTGGCTGTCTAGCTTCCTTTTGAAGACCCCCAAGGTAGGGGCGAGCACCACTTCCCTTGGAAGTTGGTTCCAGCTCCTAGCTGCCCTGATGGTGAAGTAGTGCCATGGAGAACACAAATCTCCAGCAGACTTTCCTTATGCCTGAAGAAGGGTGTTTGTGCCTGAAAGTTCGCAAAGAACAATTTTTGCAACTATTTAGTTGGTCTAATAAAAAATATCACATTTACCCGAAGAGCCTTGCCCACCTAACTCCAGGAGAGAGTTCATAATTGTAAATACCTAAGGAAGGTGGGGCTTAAGTCACATTCCTCATTTTAGCATCACCTACCAGCCTGCGCAGACTGCTGACTGCTGAGAATTCCACTCTTAAGCACCCAGAGGGAACCCAGGTGCCTAACCTGGGGTAGTGAATTTCATTTTGTGGCAGGGCATTAAAAAAATTAGGACATTGCCTCACATCCCCTTCTACAACTAGCTGCTAGGCTCTTCTAACTATCCTGCTGCTTACATAGAACAAATGGTTATAATATTCAGAATTGCTATCTACTGGCTGCAACTACACGAAACTGTGCAATTGTTACTGCACAATCATTTAGTACTTGTATAAACAAGTACTAAATGACTGTGGAGTAAATGGAGTCACTCTGCAGTCTGTGAACAGCTGTTTTATGCTGCTGACTGCACAGTAGCGAGTGACAACTGCACAGTAGCATTGTGTCACGCTTTCTGCCATGTGACGTGACTGTGCAGTACTCACAGGCTACTGAACAGTCAGTATCTCATGTAGACTTGACCACTAAGCCCCAAATTAAGTATTAAAGTACTTACCTAGCTTGTTAGCCCACCTGACAGATACTTACTTTTCAAGAGCCTCCAAGCGAAATCCTTCTTTTCTTCTAACAAAGATAGTGCAATAAATTTTTTATGAAGCGAAGAAAAACTGTGCATTTTACTGGAGTGTGCAGAAATTCTCTCTTGATTTAATTGTGTTGCTACCAGACATCGACCCTATCAATACATGGAGATTATAAGTAGGTATAAATAATATTTGGAGATGTTCCTATTAATCAATATGGTCCTAAATGGTCATCATTGCTCCTTTCTATGTTCCACCTAAAACTTGTATTTTGACAAGTATAAAATTGTGCATGTCCTGCTGATATTTATTGACTGATTCCATTTCCTCTAATAGAAGCTTTTACAGATGCAAATACATCTTCAAAAAGGGCTAGATTTGCAGGGTACTCAAAAATTTTCACTGCATAAATGTCACTGAATTTAAAATGTTATAGTAATGACATGGATATTATACAAGGTCTGCATGGACCATTTGGAAAATTTACCTCTCTAAAATTATTCAAGGTTTGGGGCTAATTGCTTCAGGAATGGCTTTTGCTGGTCAAACTTTTGCCAGGGTGTTCTAAAAAGTTTACTAGAATACCCTGTCTTTTCTATCATGCACTAAAGCTTACTTCTTACTATTCTACTAAAGCATAAGACAGCCTTTTCCAACAGCTTTCTGCTGCTGGAAAATGGGCTGGTCCCTGTTCAGGAGTGCTTATTCATGTAAGCACTCCTGAACAGGGAGTTTCCTGATTTCCTGTTTTCCTGATTAGGAATTACTTCCTTAATGCAGTACTAAATTATGTAGAATAAGAATAAATAACATATTTATCTATTCAGAATTTCCCTCATGATAAACTAAGAATGGCAGTCCACAAAAACTGGCAAATATCATTTTCAATGCAGCTTCTGCTAGACATTTTAAAATAACTGATGAATGTTCTAGATCAAGTTTTCCGCTCCTGTTTTGTGAATGAACAAAACAGATGCTGACTAAAATGTGGCCCAATATGATTTGAGAGCTATTTCTTCATAATTGTCATGACTGAATATGATCTAAGATGTATAATAGATTTTAAAACTTTCAAAACACTGTTGTGGACAAAAGGGATCTCCATGCTACCTCCGAATAGAATATATTTGCTGCATGTTCCTGATCCTGCAGATTTTATTAAAATAGAACAGTATGTAGTAAACAACAAACCACACATGTCTCACAGTGCCACAAAACTTAACACCTCCTAGTATAAGCCTGCCCAAATAAAAAGTTCTTTAAAATTTTCCTGAAGGTGCCCTGATGGGCTCTGATGGACCACAAATGTCTCATAGAAAAGACCTCCCAAGTCATTAAGTACATTTCCCTAAATTCACAGACCACCATTTGTTCAAAAGGTCCCAAAGATCATCCACTCCAGCCCCTCTTGCCTACTACAGTCACAAAGCATTTGGAAAAAAAAGAACCTACAACATGCCAAGAGAAAGAGCATAAGATATAATGCTTCCTGCACCACCTGGGCAACTGCAATGGTAGGAAACCTGTCAGGTAAAAGTATGCATGTGTAATGCACACCCATGGAGGCAAAAAACACTTTATGGGCACATTCAGACAAGCGCGCACGTGCCTCTTGCCCCATCTCAAACCCCTTTGAGCGAAAAAATGTTTGCAACGTGGGGAGAAAGTTAAACTCCTACATGCAAGGGTAAAAAAAAACGCTCCACAGAAGTGTGGAGCAAGGCACAGTCCCAGACCATGCCCGGAGCCAGCAAGGAGTCAGTCCTCCAAAAGAGATGCTCTGGTTTCAGCCAGAGCATCTCTTTGGTGCTTCTTCTGCCCCCGGCACTGTCCAAGGTAAGTGGGAGGGTGGGGGCTCATGGGTGTGGGTGGGTGAGGAGTGGCAGCGGGATGTGGGGGGGTTTGGGGAGTGGTGAGGGGGATGTCCCCAGGGCTGTGGTGGGGAGGACCTGGCCCAGATCGGTGTAGCTCGCTAATCCGGCTTTGCACCGGAGCAGGTTGCACAGCTCCGGGAGGCGCACACAGGAGCGGTGCCTCCCAGAGCCATGTGACCCGCTCCAGTGCAAAGCCAAACTAGCAAGCCACATGGGGCTGGGCCAGGTCCCGCTGCACACCACCTCCCCACAGGGACAGTGGGGCAGAGGCGGGACACAGTGCAGCATGCAGGGACCGCACGCCAGGTCCTGCCGGCCCCTCTGCCACCTGACTGGGCCGGTCCCCCAGCAGCAGGACCCAGACCAGGTCCAGCTGGGTCCTGCCAGCCCTGGAGACCCTCTACCACTCAGCTGGGCCAGTCTCTTGGTGGCCCGCAGGGACCACGTGCCAGGCCCAGCCGGGTCCTGCCGGCCCTGGGGCTACTTGTGCTTCCTGGGTAGGCTGGTCCCATGGCGCGCAAGACCATGCACTGTGGGACCGGCCTGGCTGGGCAGCACAAGCAGCCACACGGCTGGCAGGAACCGGGCGGGGCCGGCACAC